TCTCTCTCTCTCTCTCTCTCTCTCTCTCCTCTCCTCTCCTCTCCTCTCCTCTCCTCTTCTCTTTTACCACACTCTATTACTCAATTCAGAACAAAAGAAGAGATAGAATTTGTGTTCTTTCAGTTATCTTTTTTGAGTATCTATATTGCCTGGAGCGAAGAAGGAGAGGAAGCATCTAGGAGGAACTTAGAGGAGAGGAGAAAGAGTTAGGGATATATCCCTAAGACCAAGAGGGGAAAGGCAGGAAACCACCACATTCTCAGGGGTGGATATAGGAAAAGAACTACTAGCAAGGGGAAGTATCATCACAGACTACAGAAGGGTACCACAGAATGAGGAATACCTGGGAATTATCGGTGAGTTAAGAGCCTGAAAATTTGTGTGTATCTGCCGGTCCTTCTTTTGTGGAAGAAAATCTCTTTTAAAAGTCTAACCATACCTCATATTCTCATTTAATAAAATAAGGAATTCTGGTACACAGTAAGGGAGGTTGAACCCTTTACTTTGTGGATAGTGAGGAAAGAATAAGAAGAGTAAACATGTGGGCAGCACTCATACAGTGACAAGGATTGATGTCAGGGCCTTCATATTGAGCTACATCTCTAGCCCTTTATTCCTGTATTTATTTATTTTATTGTTGAGCCAGTGTTTTGCTAAGCCACTGAGTTGGCCAGGCTGAGCTCAAACTTGCAATCCTCTTTGATTAGCCTTCCAAAGTGTTGGTATTACTTTGGATTACATATGCCACCATACCCTACTTCCAACTTTTATATTCTGTCTTATTCAATATCCCAAAGTTTCTAAGTGGTAGAAGCTCTTTATACTGTCCATTTTACAAAGGAAGAAGTTGAGCTGCAGACAGCTTTATTGGTTTTCCTATTATATAGCAGTGAGTGATGTGCTGGAATTCTGGCTCAAGTCTGTCTTTGGTGCCTAAGCACGTTCCACCATGCAACAGCTGCCTCTGAAACAGGCCTCAGAAAAAAGGATGCTTGTCCCACTGAGTCAATCATAGTGCCAAATCTGGAAACCTACATCAGTCTTCCTCGGAGTTTTTAAGTGTCACATAGTAGTGTCAAACTATCATCAGCTCATGATATGCCAACCATTCCCTTATAATCTGAATGACTACATTGGCAACTGGCCAGAA